GTGCTCACCTCATTCCGACTTTCAAAGGGATGAATCCACAAGTTAATGTCATCACTGCATGCTTATTCTCCAACAAGTTGTACACAGAGAAAGTCGCACTGAATACACTGCAACTCCACAAGTTAATGTCATCACTGCATGCTTGCTCTCAAACAAGTTGCACACAGACAAAGTCCCACTGAATACTGGAAATTATTTCTGACTATACAGGAAAAAGAACTGATAAGAACATTTGAAGTGGTAGTAACTGATGCACTGCTACCTTCACACAATGGGTTTGACCAAGAATAAGAAATATGTAGTGCTCTAAGTAATGGATCCCAATAGTCATCATTCTTCATCCCCATCTTCACTAGCTTGGGGAGAGGTGATGAGAGTTAAAGTCCACTAATATGAGGAAGGCTACAAGTTCTCCATTCCTCCTAATTAAATGTCTTCTCTAAACTTACCTAACTGCATGGGAATCTGGAGCAATTGCTCTGAACCTGGGAAAACACTGTTAGTGCTCTGGTCCTCTGAAGATAAGGGGCAAAGTGCCCCTTATCTCATTTTAACTCATTTTAACTTAACTCAGCTCAGAGTCTGGTAAAGTTACTTTTGGACTACAGCTCCCAGAATCCCCAACTATGGCATTTATGGGAAGTGTAGTCCAAAAAAGAAACTTTCTCGGGTTCTTACCTGAAGGAAACAGTGGTTGCACAGAACAGGCACCTAGAGTCAACCACTGAATGGAGGAAGTCTAAACTTTGTCGGGATAAGATGGAAACATTCAAAGTAAGCGGGATTAATGAATCAGCTTGTTCCATAACTATGGAGAACTGGTGACTTGCCAGATATTGCAGGACTAAAAAGTTCCCTAATTACTGATTATTGACTGCAGTGGCTGGGGCTCAGGAATTTTTCACTCCAATGACATCTGGACATCCACAGCTTCCCTGTCTTTGTTGTATGCAACGAATTTGATTTCTAGTCAAGCACTGCTCCTCAGTACAACACTGCTCATGGAAGCACAAGTGATATGGGGATAATGGGGTATGTAGTCCAAAAACTGACACCATGCACCAACTTATTGTAAGTTACTGAGGCCCTCTTTTTGTTTTCACCTGACCAGGAAGATATATCCTAACAGTACTCAAGCACAGACATGAGTCATAGAGTCACAAGCCTCTCACCCCAACCACCTGTTGCAGGAAGAAGAAACTGGGAGTATATTTGCCAGCCAGTCCTCCTCCAGACATTATAGTGATGAAGGGTTTGAAGCAGGAGCCTGCTTTATTTCTGTGAGCTCCCTGAAAATTTAGAACCCCAATCACATCAAATTTTAAATTGCAGGCTTAGCTGATGTACCTAAAGGAAAACTCATGCAGAGCCTACAGCAGGAGTGGGCTGCTTGTGGCCTGCAGGATCCTCACTGAAGCCTAAATGTAATCCCTAAAGCACCCACATATCCTCCTCTTAAATTTAACAGTACTTTGTTGGGGGAAATTGGTTTCAAAAAGTCCACTTGTGCCCTCTAGAGGGGACATTTGTCATATTTGGGGAGGCAGGAGATACCCCTTTATTCTTTAAAAAATGGTCAGTACAAGGATACAAAATTGTTTGCTTGGGTGTTGGTGATTTTTTTAAAGTTGTACAAAAATATATGGGGATAGGAGTGCATATACAGCTCTCCAACATCCTAGGATGGACATGTGAGGTCCCTAGACCTCTGTATCTACCCAGCCTACAGGCTCCCTGATTGCTAGTTTCTGACCCCATGTCTACAGGCTGAATTGCATTCAATGTTCTGTAAGTGCAGTTTCTTGGCAGGCACTTCTTGATGTGTGCATGTTTTAATTGAAATTTTGCTTTCCTCTATTTCAGTGGTTCTTAACCTAGGGTTACTCAGGTGTTTTTGGACTGCAACTCCCAGAAGCCTTCACCATCAGCTGTGCTGGCTGGGGTTTCTGGGAGTTGCAGTTCAAAAACACCTGAGTAACCCAAGGTTAAGAACCACTGCTCTATTTCACAAATACATGTACTACAGCGTGCCTCTGATGACCACATCTTTATCTTAGAATGGCCCCATGTCACCTCCAAACTCATCTGGACCTGTTATGTGCTGTTAAATCAATTCTGAATTATGGCAACCCTAATCAGGATTTTCTAGGTATAGAAAACTGAGAAGTAGTTTACCACTGCCTTAGTCTCAGAGTGACCTGGAACTGAGCAATTTGCCTGAGGCTGGCTCTTATCACAGTGGGGAATCAAACTCCCAATCTCTAAACACCACAACCAAGCACTCCAATTCACTGAGCTAACTAGTCAACTGGGCCTGTTATTTGAGGGATAATTATCCCTCAGTAATAATGCCTTCATAGTCCAACAAGCAGTCATGTCTGTGCAGGTTGTAACCTTCCTAAGCACAGATAAAAGCTTGCCTGCTTCTCATAAAAGGCAGTGCTAGACAAAGATAGTCCTTGTTGAATTGTGTCACACAGTCAGCTGTAACAAAATGACCCAGCAACAGAACTGCTGATGGTGTGGATTGTTGTGCATGGATTCAAGTCCTTGAGCAATGGGCAGAAATGTCCTTCATAGTCAAAAGAATCATTCTTGGTTCAGTATTTTTTCAAAAAAATCATACTTCAAGAAAGAGTTTTTTAGTTTCTCTCTTTGATGTCATGGTAAATGCACTCATTTCCCAGGGCTTTTTTTCTGGAAAATATATGAGTGTATAAATGTAAAGTATTTTTATCCTGCCTTCCTCCTTAAAAAGGACCCAAGGCAGCTTACATCATTAAAATACAGTATTAAAAGCTAACAACAGTGAGTATACAAGTATTTAAAAGGATCAAACAGATACCATACTAAATATAGACCATTTAAAAACATGAGCAGACAATATAATTGTATGTAGCATTGAGAACTTAGTTTGGGCAGACTAGTCATCAAAAATATATAAAACACTCCTTCTTCTGGTTGCTATTGTCCTACTTACAACTCCAAAATGCCATTCTAATTACTGCTAACAATGAAAGAAGCCACAAGTTGTATGAAATCCAAGTAACCCAACCCATTCAGTTAGTTGTATGAAACCCAGGTAAGCGTGTCTATGGAAATAAGGGGGGAGTGTGACACTGCCAGAATGCTCCCAGTCATTTATCATTTTATCAGCCTATTTCATTCAGTATATTTCTATTTTCACAATAAATTATGTCTCCATAACAGATTTCTGTATATATAATATCCATGTCAGTTACGTGAGTAAAAGAAGGCTACTTTCACATGAGTTGTTTTGCTACATTACGGTGGAGGAATTTAACAGCTATCATATTTATAGATGCCATTGCACCTTGTGACTCCAAAATTTAAATGGCTGCTAATTGGGTATGGAAGGTATGCATTTCATTTTTTTATTTACAGAAAAACTTGCATCCCTTCCTTTTGGTTGTTACACACAGTTCAGACTAGCTAACAGTGGTAACAATCTACTTTAACAATTATAAAATATAACAACAGACACTTTAGATAACAAATAATATAACAATACATCATATAAACAACACATTCCATAAAACTGAGAAAACAAATGCTTGACTGAACTAAAGAGAGTTTTGGTAACATGATGAAAGGCAATGAGAAGAGCTTCTAACCTAACTTAATGGGCAAGAAATTTTAAATTCTCACTTTTAGCAGACACCCCTCCTCCCGTCCGGTATTTTGTTTAGTTTGGCTACACTTTAGGCTATTTTTTAAAATTGTCAGAATGCCACAGCAGTGTACAACTTCCCGGAAGTGGTCTAAAATGATCCCAATGGAAACACATCCTTGTCCACTGTCCCCACTCACCTTCCATAGTTCAAGAAGGGGGGGGATGCCACATTTTGCCACCCTTGTCTTTTGGCTCTGGCCTCCAACACAGTCTTGCCAGGTATTTCTCC